ACGAAGCTCACTCGGGACACTCTGCCTCCGTCCTGCCTCTCTGCTTGACCCTCCACCAGCAGCTCCTTGCCCTTCACCAACTGCACTGTCACGTCGCCCTTCATGAAGTCAAACACGTCCATCACGATCTGGTAGGAAAAAATGTTATTTAGATAACTAGCTATTCAGTCTTAATTGAAAGAAGGATTCCAAATGGATATAAAACAGGCTTTAGTAAGAAGCAGTTTCACCCACCTTGTGCGAGTCCTGATCGTCCAAGATGCCAACAGCCTGATTTTCCAACTTGAGGTCGCGTTGACGCAGACGTCTGTAGTTGTGCATGGCGTCGCTTCGACAGGTCCATTCACTGGCCTTTTCCAGCACTTCTCTCACCGCCTGGCTGAAGCTGTTACGGACATTTGCGAAGCAATAGTCTTCAGCAAACGCACCTCTCCTCTCTATGTGCAAAACCCTGGTTTCCATAGAAAGGCTTGGAATGTTATACTTGAAATCCTTGCTGCTGTCATTTGTCATCTTTGTCTCCTTGTTGAACATGTGTCCACCTTCAAACTCTTCGTCATCGTCTTGGAAAGTGACTCGGTATTGGTTATTGGATTGTTTGGCAAAAGCTCTTAATTCCTCGTCATCAGAAGATGAATCTCTCTTCTTCAGATATTCCTCGGCGAGACGATGTCCATTTCTAAATTTCCTTGAAACCGTTGCCTCGACATCGTCCATGTCTTCTACATCAATCGAAAAATGTTTTCGATTATGGCCCCTCCTGGAACACAAAGTTATGATATATTTACTTTGATGCGATTGTTTCTAGAATGTATTTTAGACAAACGATTGAACCAGTGTTTGCAGTTCTAGTCATATCTATTCTCTTTACTCCCTCAAATAAACACAGTGCTGGGCACAGAAACATTCCTATGCATATCTATATAACATATATGAACTTCCGAACGTATACACAGATGACCTACCTTCTTTGGAGCCAAAATTTTAAGCACACCGTCAGAAGACATGACTGAAATGACAGCCTCAAGCTCAATGTCTCCAGGAACAACGAAGCGCCGAAGGAACCGCTTGCTGGACTTGGAACCGTCTTCCTTCTTCTCCAAGTGACCTTCGACCACCAACTCTCGCTCGTTCACAGCCTTCACGCTGATCTCTCCAACGTCCATAAAGTCGTGAACATCAATGACAAACTGAAAAAGAAGAAAATACATGACAAAGGTTCATTCAGGCAATGAGTTACCATGATGTTTCAAATAACATTTCTTGGCAGAGAAACAGATTATATAATTAGCCTGTCTGTACCTTATAATGGCGTTCATCTTCCGAGGACGTCACAGCCTGAGTGTCTTCCCTCATATTTCGTGCTCGTAGTTTCCTGTAGGAAGTCATCTCGTCACCGCAGGACTTCTCTCCCCATCTGCTCAGGATTTCCCTAACGGCCTTCTGGAAATCCTCCCTTGTGTCTCGGAAGAAGTAATGGGAAAAGAAGTGTCCTTTCCTCGTGATAGGAAAAGACTTCTCTGCGAAGCTAGATAGAGATCCACTCGCCAAACGAGAGGACGTTCCCATAATTGCGTCTTCGGTGACGTTATACTATTAGTTTCTTGAGACTCCCTGCCACTTTCTTGTCCAAAGCGTCTCAGTCTATTGCTGTCCTCGAAACTGCAATCAAGATAAGGCGTCTTTGTTCCCGACGTGAAATCTCGAGAGAAATGACGAGTTTCCTCGGACTGAGATGTCACATACTCGTTCAGTCCATTTTGGTTTTCATTCTTGGTCTCAAGCAGACGTTTTTCAGCAGGAAGTGAAAGTGATTCCGAGTGAATGATTTCTTTTGTGAGGCTGCGTTTTGCTTCAGTTTTAATGGAGTTTTCAGCAGTATTTGCCTCGACATTTCCTTCCTGCAAAACAATAACTTTATAATATTTGCGCAGTGTATGACTTTTTTTTTTCTTTATTCATTGGTGATTACTCCCAGCAAAAGATATATCAATAATAGAACTTAGAACATACCTTAAACATCACAGTGACTGTGAGGATGCCATCTAATGACATGACAGAAGTGATTTTAGTAAACTGTGGAAGAGAGAAGCGGCGTCTGAAGGAGTAAGAGGTTTCGGATGAGGTTCCTTCTTCCTTCTTCACCACAAGTCCCTCGATGACCAACTCCTTCTCATCAACGACCTTCGCTTGTACATCTCCACTCATGAAATCATGAACGTCCATAATTATCTGGAAATAATAGGTAGCTTTTTAAATGGCAACCTACTTTTGAAATGTTATTTCGGGAATCGTGGTAGTAATTTATTTAGTAATAATATTGATATTACTCAAAATGACACGAAAAGTAACAATGACAATAATGTCGACTAACCTTCATACAAGACTTGTCTGATGTGACGATAGCGGCCTGATTCTCTTCCCTCAGATCGCGAGACCGAAGCTGCCTGTAGCGTTCCAGGATATCGGTGTGGCGGAGGTCAGTGTCGTCCTCAAAGTTGACTTGATTGCACCTGCCCAACACCTGCTGAGAGCGGCACTGAAGTCTCGGTGAGCGTCGAGGAAGAAGTCTTGGAAGAAGTTTCCTCTTTTGGTGATGAGCAAGAGTTCTTCTGGCGAATCTCTCTGAATCCTTTTGTTCCTTTCAAGGATTCGATAGCTGCAGACTTCTGCAATTGTCGTGGATGAAGTATTTGTATCTGTTGTGGGCTGGATTCTTTGGTTTCAGTCGTTTCTTCTAGGTTCAGCTGCCCGACACTATCGACGGCTTCCTCTTCATGGGTACAATCTCTGGATAACTGCACGGAATTTGTGCAACTCTCAATGGCTGCCGACTGAGTCCTTTTGCTGTCGAGTGTTTCCTCAGGGATTGTTTGGTGATTAAAGTTCTCTTGAACTGCTGAGTCGTTCTCATACTTATTTTGCCAAGAAAATTGTGCAAGTTCCTCATCATAGTATTGGACCTTTCTTGCACAGACACGGCATCATCAGTAACATCGAAAATGGTTGAAGACTTTGAGTTCTGACCTGACACATTCTGAGCCTCAGCAACAGTTTTCTGTGAGTCTTCCCCATCAAGAATGTCAACAGATTCCTGGGAATCTTGGAGATCAAGAATTTCAACAGATGAGCCTTTCACTTCAAGAATATCAACAGATCGCTGTGAATCTTTTACATCAAGAATGTCAATATCTTCCTGCGACTCTGTAAGATCAAGAATTTCAATAGCTTCTGAGCCTTTCACTTCAACAATGTCAGCAGATTCCTCTGAGTTTTTTAGATCATGAATATCAATAGCCTGCTGAGAGTCTTCAAGATGAAGGACTTCTGCAGTTTCGGAATCGTTTTCATCTTCGGGGACAGACAGAAGAGAATCCTGGAGAAGTTCCAAAGTCACGAGAGGCAGACAAATTGCCAGACGTTTCAGTCATGGCGATCGAACTTCGGCGACACAGGGAAGCCTCTGAAATTTCTGCAAACTCGGAGCAAGACTGCATTTCATCAGACACAAAAGTTGGAGAATCAGTCATCACTTCTGCAGGTACAATAGATTCTACGTTGCCAATAGTTTCTTTGCTTTGATTTTCACTTTCTACAAACTCAGTGTCATGACTCGATCTTGCTGCAGAATCAGTTGACAGAAGGAATTCTCGGGCTTTCTCAGATTCCACCGAGTCCATGCAGTCATGTGTGGCTTTGCTTTCTTTTTCACATTCCTCATGGAGGGAGATTTCATCAGCTGGGAATAGCGAGCGTTGAACTTGAGAGGATTTTTGAACTTCCTCAACGGACCTGATCACTTTGTGTTCCTCCGGTTCTTCTGCCTGTTAAACAATTTAAATATTAGCTTACGTGTGTGTCGAGTAAGAGGGTGTGTGAGTCATATAAGTGTGTTTGTGCTGTATTCACATTTGTAAGATTTGTTATATTTTTAGGAACTGACATTTTCATCTTTGTAATATATAACAAGTTTATCTCCAGATAATCCTTACATACCATTTTTGAAGCGCTGATTGTAAGAATGCCATCTGAAGACATGATGCACGTGATGGCTGTCATGTCAATATGCTCTGGCAAGGAGAAGCGGCGTCGGAAGGAGTAGGAGGACACGGATGAGCTTCCTTCTTCTCTCCTCTCCACACGACCCTCCACCACCACCTCCGTCTCGCCCGCCACCTTCACCTTCAGATCCCCGTTCATGAAGTCTTGGACGTCCAACACGATCTGTGAAAATTATGTATTTAAACGATAATCATAATACTTACATCTGGGTATCATATTCGAATTAATGAATATTCACATGAAGAACCCACATGTAAACAGTTGCAGTTAGATTGAAAAACAATTGGGTTTATTGATCTCAAAAGTTTAAACATATTATTATTCGTAAGAGTTTCTTGAACTTACTTGTAACTAGTGTTGTCGGACGTGACGATAAAGACTTGGGTCTCTTCCTTCAATTCTCGGGATCGAAGCTGTCTGTAGCGGTCCAGGATATCGCTGTGACTAAGGCCAAGGAAGTCCTCACTGTGTGTCACTTCGCTGTCTTCGCTGACCCACTTCCTCAGGACCTCTCTGATGGCAGCGTCGAATTCTTGGCGGACATCGAGGAAGAAGGAGTCCTGGACGAAGCTTCCCCTTCGAACGATGGGCAAGATTTCCTCGCCCAGTTTGATGGCTTCAGTCGAATCAGATTCTGATTGCACAGTTGCTTGTTCCTGTTGTTCAGAAACTGAATCATCATAAGAGGCTTTTTCAACGACTGTCGATTCAGAGAGTATCATGATCTTGATTATTGGCAACGTCTCCGAACAGAAGCAGTTGTAGACTCATCCACAGACGGATTTGGCAGATCTTGGACTTAAACTTCCTTGGATTCAGCAGGAAATTCGAATTCTTTCTCCAGCTTTCTCGTCTTGTTCTCGTACGAGTGTTTTCGTTCACACCCAAACTCCATCTGATCCACATTAACAAGATTCTCGTGAACAGAGATATTTTCTCCCGTCGTGGACGAAACTGCTTCGGGTGTTGAGTCTTGAGCTGTTGATGATTCCTTCCTTTCCTCGGTCGTGGAGAAGTTAACGCGTGTGTTTTGCTGTGGTTCTCCTGCCTGAATGAGAAATGAGAACAGCGTCATACTCATTTCTACGCATGCATAGACTAACTCAATGTTACATTGCAGTGTGATTAGCGTTCTAGGTCTACATATTTACCTTTTTAAACATGAGTGTGTAATGTAAACATATAGTGTCTATTATCTTAACATAAAAGTTATTTACCGTTTTAAGAGTAGTTATTGTGAGTATGCCATCCGAAGACATGACAGAAGTGATGCGTGTCATGTCAGTGTGATGAGGCAGGGAAAAGCGGCGGCTGAAGGACCGTGTCGAGACGGACGACCCTCCTTCCTCCTCCCGCGCCGCCCTTCCACCACCAGCTCCTCGTCGACGACTTTCACCTTGACGTCTCCGCGCATGAAGTCATGCACGTCCAGCACGATCTATGAGATTGAAATTGAATTGAATTTGCTTTTTTTTTTTTTTTAAGTTAATGAAATATGGTCAAAATATAGTGGACTATGATTATCTTAATAATAACAATGTTGAAAGTGACAACAATGATAATAACACTAACAATGAAAATAATGGCATTGATAATGATATGAATATTGATAATTGCAATAATGATAGTAATGATAATGAAAGCAATAATGGTGATAATGAGAAAAAAACTAAAGAAAGAAAGAACAAGCAGAATGAATGGGATAATGATGAAGCCCATAATAGTATGTGAAGATATTCTGCGACCCTCAGTGAAGTTGTGCATATCAAGTATAGATAATCGTGTACCAAGAGAAAAACATCAAATACTTTTCTAATCAATGAAAATATCTTGAATACTTTAGGCAATGCCGAGTGCTGATACACAGAGAGGGACTGACCTTGAGGCTGGCACTGTCTGACGAGACGCAGAAGGCCTGGTTCTCTTCCCTCATGTTTCGAGATCGAAGCTGCCTGTAGCGGCTCAGGATGTCACTGTGACTGACATCGCCTGTCAGCGTGAGGTCGGAGTCGTCGCATTTCTTCAAGATTTCCCTGACGGAGGCGTCGAAGTCTCGGCGAATGTCGGAGAAGAACGAGTCTTGCAAGAAGCTTCCTCTCCTCGCGATGGCCAAGGAATCGTCTTGCGAACTGCCAAGAGTTTCCTTTGCTTCCAGCGAGTCGGAAATTCTTGGAAGCAATCTGAGATCGACGACTGCTTCTGTGATGATATTTGGGTGTTGCTTGAGATACTGGAAGCTGCAGTTTGGGTCTTGTTCTCGTCGATCTTCTCCTGATGGCATCGTGTGGATTTTGCGTTCCTCCTGTTGGGCTGTGTGGGACGTTCTCTGGCCAGACGACGCTTCCCTCAGAAACTCCCGAGGTCGTCGAGGAAGTTGAGCTGTGAACTTCTGCATTGTGCGTTTCCTTGACGCTAATGGGGATGACAGTCGTCTTCTGTTGTGTTTCAGTCTCCTGTTGGTTTGGCGTATTTTACCATGCGAATGCCTTCTACATTTTAATGAAGTCAGTTTTATAACATCAGAAAAGCGTTGATATAGTTTTAAGAGGAGCTAGGACAATACCTTCTTGGTCGCAGTGATTGTGAGGATGCCATCTGACGACATGACAAGCGTGATGGATGTCATGTCAGTGGACTCAGGCAAGGAAAACTGCGTCTGAAAGGTGCGCGAGGACCCGGCCGAAAGGGCCTCCACCAGCAGCTCCTTCTCGCCCATCAGCTTCATCACATCTCCATCCACAAAGTCATGCATGTCCAACACGATCTGTGACATGATTCACGGTATCAGTAACAAAACAATCCCATTCGTCCATAAACGTAAGAATTATTGGTTATATTTTGAACGTGTGTAGTCTTCATGCTACTTACTTTAACTAATATATCCGAAGTGACTGTAACGGCCTGGTTGTCACTCCACAGGTTCCGCGATCGCAGCTGTCTGTAGCGGCCCAGTCTGTCGCTGCGGTGGAAGTCGTCTCGTCCCAGAAGTCCGCCAGCTGGAGGTCGGCGTCATTCCAGCCGTTGAGGACCTTCCTGATGGAGGCGTCGAAATTGCGGTGTATACCGGAGAAGAATGAGTCCTGGAAGAAGTCTCCCCTTCGAGTGATGGGCAAGAGAGTGTCCCTCGAACCGCGGTGAAGTCTAGGAATCAGCTGTTCCTTTGGTCCAAAATGGCATGAACAGGTTTCTTTTCGTGCAGAAGACGAGTGTTCTAAGTCTGTGCTAAGACTTGACTGTGTAGTTTCCGATTCGTCGTTTGATGCCATTTGTGTTCGAGTTTGGCTGACTTTCTCACAGTTATTCAAAGTGGAAGTCTGAGTGATGATATTTTCCTTTGTAGTTTCCGATTTCTGTGAGGTAAAATGTAACATAACATTAGTATCAATATAATATTGGGTTTTTCTTTACAACATTAATTTTCATATATAAATTGATTAGGAGAAAATCCTTGACTCACCATTTTTGGCGCAGTGATTGTGAGGATTCCATCTGTGGACAAGACGGACGTGATCGCTGCCATGTCTGTGTGTCGAGGCAAAGAGAAGTAGCGTCTGAAGGAGTGTGACGAGACGGACAGGCTTCCTTCCTCCTTCCTCTCCACGTGTCCTTCCACCAACAGCTCCTCCTCGTCCAACACCTTCACTCTCACATCTCCTTCCAGAAAGTCATGCACGTCCAGCACAATCTGGGAAACAGAATTTATATGCTATGATTTTAGCTCTTTGTGGACTTGCTCTGCGAGTTTACACACTAGTTAACCGTGTCTTGTTTAACAGACAGTTGTTATATCGACTCACCTTGTGACATGTATTGTCAGATGTGACTGTGACAGCCTGGTTCTCTTCCTTGAGGTTGAGAGATCGAAGCTGTCTGTATCGGTCCATAATATCCTCCCGGCGGAAGTCTTTCGCTTGGAAATCGTCGCCACTCCATCTGGCCAACACCTCCCTGACGGAGGAGTCAAAGTCCTTGTGTGTGTCCGAGAAAAAACGCGTCTTGGAAGAAGCTTCCTCTGCGACTGATGGGAAGGAACACACCCCACGCCCTGCTGCTTGACCTTGCCTGCCGCGAGCACTTTTCCGCGGGCGTGGAGGAGACTGTCACGTCGTAGGACTTTTCCATCTGAATGGGCGCCATTTTCAAAAGAGGAATATGTATACACTTGTGCTATGACTTGAGAGGAGATCGTTTGGAGGTGCACGTGCGCTTGTGAACTGAAGGTAGTTGGGAGGACAG